TCACGGTAACGACAATGAAGGTACTACGAACGATAGTGGTATCGATAATAATAATAATATCGAGGAAAATGATAAAAACGTTAAAAATATCGATTAAGACGAGAATAAAGAAAATAATAATTAGGAGTATTATCCTAATAAATAATTAGGTTATAACAATAATAACGATAATAACGGTAAAAATAAAGGTTATAAAAGTATTTACGACAGTAACGATAGTAATAACGATAATAATAATAATAATGAAAATAATAATAATAATAATATCGATAATAATAATAACAACAATAGTAACGATAATAACGATAGTATTATCGATATATAACGATAGTAACGGTCATAACGATGAGATTATAAGTAAGGATAATAAAGAATATAACTACAATACCGATAACAACGATAATAATGATAACGACGTTAATAACGATAATAAGGAAAATAGTAACGATAAGGACGATAATAACGATAATAATGATAAAACCATATTGATGTTAAAAATGTTAACAACGATAATAATAACGACTATAATAATAATAATAATAATAATAACGATTCTATCGTTAATAATAACAATAATAATAACAATATCGGTTATAACGATAATAACGATAGTAAAAAAGAGAAAAGTAATAATAACGGCAAGAACGATAATCACGTTAGTAATAACGATAATACCGTTAATAAAGGTATTAACGATAATATCGATAATGACGATAATAACGATAATAACTATAATAGCGAGATTCCCTGTAATAATTAATGGTAAGGGTAATAGTGACAATAATAAGCATAATAATAATGATAATAATAATAAATATAATAATGATAATAATAAAAATATCGAAAATAACGAAAACAATAAAGATAATAACAATAATAAAGATAATATCGACAATAAATATAATAGCGATAATAATGTTAATTACGTTAATAACGATAATAAGACCGATAATATTAATAATAACGATAACTGAGACAAGAATCACTATAAAAATAATAGTAATCATAATAATTAAGTAAGGATAATAATGAATACAACGAAAATAGAGATAATAACGATGATAACGATATTCACCATAAAAACGGTAGTAAAATTAATAATAACAATAATAATTGCAGTAACCCTAACAGGTCAAATAATGACGATATTAATAATATTAACGATAATAACTGTAGCCGCGAAAGTAATAACTGTAATAACGATAATAACGATAATAAAGCTAATATCAACGATATTTACGAACATAATGATAATATCGAGAATAATAGTAAAAACGATAATGACGATAATAACGATAATAATATCAATAATAATTATAATGATGATTGTAACGTTAATGACGTTAATAATAATAATAACAATGACGATAACGATAATAATGATAATAAAGATATTAACGATATTAACGGTAATAACGATAATAATGGTAATAACGAATATACTGATATTAACGTTTATAACTATAATAATAACAATAATAATAATAATAACGTTAATAACGATAATAACGACAAAGAGATAAGGATTTTAACAACGATAATATCGATAATAATAACGTCTATACTAATAATAATAATAATAGCGATTATATCGTTAATACTAACGGTAATAATAATAATAGCGATTATAACGGTAATAACGATAAAAGTTATAATAACGATAATAACTCTAGTAATAACGATAATACCGATAATAAAGATATTAATGAAAATAACGATAATATCGATAATGACGATCATAACGCTAGTAACATTTATCACGATAAAAATACCGACAATAATAATAATAGTGATAGTAACGATAATAACAATAATATCGATAATATTGACGATAATAATAATAATAACATTATAGATAATAATAATAAGAAAAAATAATTAAAATAACAATAAAGACGATTATAACGTTAATAACTAAAAATTGTAATAACGTTTATAAGGATAAACCGATAAAAATAACGATAAAAACGATTATAAAGAAATCAACGATAATAACGTAAATAATGAAAATTATAACAGTAATAATAATAGTAAATATAATAACGTTAATAGCAAAAATATTAACTATAGATTAATAGAGATACGAACGTAGATTAATAACGATAAGAACGATGATAACTATAATAAATATAATAACGATAATATAAATTATAATAATAGTAATTATGACAACAAAAAAGTAACGATAATAAATATAATAGCGCTAATAACAATAATAATAACGATAATACTAATAGTAAGTAAAATATTGATGATAATATTAGAAATAACGATATTAAGGCTAATACAGATAATAACATTAACAACGCTATTAATAAAGATAATAATAATAGTAACTATAACAGCGACAATAATAACAATAATTGTAATAATGATAAAAAAACAAATATAAAAATAAAAATCATAATAATATAAATAACCCCAAAAACGCTAATTACGACAATGACGATGATGATAATATGAACAATAATAATCATAATAGTATCGATAAAAATAATTATATCGATGAGAAAGATAATGATAGTAAGAAGGACTATAACAATAATATCGATAATAAAGTTTAAAACGATAATTATTACAATAGTAATAATAATAATAATAATAATAATAATAATAATAACGATAATAATAAAAATATCTATATTAAAAAAAATATCGGTAATAACGATATCAAAGGTAACATCAATAACAATGATAATAACGATATTGACGTTAATAATAACGATAAAGATTATAATAACGATAACAACGATAATAATAAAGATAATAATAGTAGTAGCGATAACAGTGATAATAATAGTTATAATTATAATAATAATAAAAATAATAATAAAATAATAATAACGATGACAATAAATATGACGATAATAACAATGATAACGGTATTAACGATAAAATCGTTATAAACGATAATAATACCGATAATAATGGTGGCAAAGAAAACAGCGAAAAAAGTAACGGCATAATTAACAATAATAATTATTATATTAATCACGATAATAATGCAAAAACATAATGCCAATAATAATAATAATAATAATAATAAAACGATAATAATAATAATAATAACGATAATAATAAAAATAGTGATAATAATAATAATAATGATAATAATAACGATAACAATAATAATAACGGTAATAAAGAAAATTACGATGATAATGGTAATAATTGTAATAACGACAATAATAATAATAACTATAATAATATTAAAAACTATAAGAATGATAAAAATAATAATAACGATAATGATAATTATTACGATAATTATGATATTATCGGTAAAATAAATAATAATAATTATAACGACAATAATAAAAATAATGATGATAATAATGTGAACGATTATAACGGTAACAATTTTATTAATGATAATAACAACGATAATAATGATAATAAAGCTAATAACGTTAATAACGATGATAACAATAATAATGATAATAAAGATAATAACGTTAATAACGATAGTAATAACGATAACAATAATAATAACAATTATAACGAAAATGAAGATAATGTTTATAATAACGGTAATACCAATGATAATGGTAATAACATCGATAACAATAACTATAATAATTATAGTAATAATTATAACGGAATTAACGATAATAATAGTAATAATAATAATAATAATATTAATAACGATAATAACAGTAATAATATCGATAATAGTAAGGATCACAGCAAAAATAATAACGGTAATAAGAATAATAATAAGAATAAGAATAAAAACAGAAATGTTAAAAATAACGATAATAAAGTGTATGAAGATAATAACAATAATAACTACAATAACGTCAACAATAGTGATAACGAAAATAGCGACTATAATAACGAAAATAATAACAATAATTGTAGTTCCGAATATAATGAAAATGACGATAATAACAATAATAGTAACGATAATATCGATAATAATGAGAGTAACGATAACTGCAATAATAAAAACTATAAATATTATGATATATTATATCGCATAAATACAATTATACGATAACATCCATAGTAATGATAATAAAGATAATGACGATATAATAGGTAATAATAACGATAATAATAATAATAGCGAAAACAAAGATAATAATGGTAATAATAACGATAATAACGATAATATCTATTATAACTATAAAACTAACGATAATATCAATAATTACGATAAGGTTGATAATAAGGTTAATAAGATAGTAATAAGAATAATAATAATATTACGATTATAACGTTAATAACGATAATAATAACGACTATATTAATAATACCGACAATAACGATAATAACGGTAATAACTTTAATAACGATAATAACAACGATAACAGGAAAGTAGTGATAAATCCGAAAGTAATTTTCTTTTCTTTGATGGTCTGAGACTGCCAATCTTTACGAACTAACCTAGGTACCCCGCCCGCCATGGGAACCCTACTCTATTTGATTCTCCCATTAATGTCCCTGAAGTATCGCGCTCACCATTGGAGGCACTACCGACTAAACAAATATCCATTCTTGAGGCATAGTGAAACCATCCCGCTACCGCTATGTGGCATTACTTCGGGATTGCGCCACTGCAACAGGTTCCTTTCCAAGACTCTCCTATCGGCTTTACGGGGCAGAAGCCTGGAGAAACATTGGGGGCAGGTCTATGGGTCGCCCATCTCATTTTATCTGCGCAAGATGGCCCTGACGTTCCAGGCCAGCTTGTCCCACTCCTCCTGACCTCGGAGCATTTTCTCGACAAGGTTGTCTGGCGAGATATTTACGAGGACTTGCTCCAAGGCGAGTTAGATGAATGTGTGTCGGACGCCGACGACAGTCGAGTCGATATATGGGCAGTTGCCGTCTGCTTCTTTCCTCATTTTTGCGAGGACGAAACAGAACAGAACAAGCCCTGTCAAAAGTTGGGTGAGGTAGAAGTCGAATTCTCCCGCCTTTCAGTTTAGCCAACTGTCTAGTTGACTGTTGAGTCGGGCCGAATATTTGTCCCGAGGCTCCTGTTCCCATCTGCTTTACGAGGTCTGGATGGTGTTAGACAATGCGAGCATTGATGCCTCCTCCTTTCCAAGAACAGGCCTTTGCTGGTGGACGAATTGTCTCTCCTGGGTTAGTAGATCGATCGGGTTTACACCCGCGGCCACTTGCACCGCGGGCTCAGAGACAGAGTGATAGGAGCAAGCGATTCGGAGGGCGCCCATCCTCAGTACCGCTGCTATGCGCTTGCGGTATTTCTCGTGTCGCAGCGCCTCGACACAAACTTCCGCGCCGTACAGAATCACTGCTTCGGCTGCGCGTATCAGTAGTCGCCTTATGCATGGTCGGGGTCCGTTGACATTGGCCATTAGTGTGCCAAGCGAAGCTACTACTTTTACCGTCTTGTTGGTTGCCCTAATTATGTGCTCACCAAATTTCAGCTTGTTGTCGAGCATTACAAGAAGATATTTGACAGCCGACTAAGTCTGGACCGCCATGTCTCCTATAATGAACCTCCGCAAGGTGTTGATGCGCTTCCTCGTAAGTAGCACAATCTCTGCTTTTGCGCTGCTAGAGATAGTCCGTCATCTTTCATCCAGGAGGTGAAACTCTCCGCATAAACTGGTTGAGCAGCAGTTGTGCCCCCTCCGTGTCTCTTGCGGTTATGACAACTGCAATGTCATTTGCGTACCCAACCAAGAAAGCACCTTCAGAGACTGCCACACGATAGATACCTTCGTAGAAAATGTTCCATATATCCGATCACAGTATGGAGCCACGTGTAGCCCCCGATGTCAATTCCGAGCTTCTTGGACCATCGCCCGTGTTGCATACTAGGAAGCGATCGTTCAGACAATTTCCGATAATTCGGAGTATGTACCACGGGACGCTGAAATTACGTTCGAGCTCGTTCATTGCCTCGTCTCACCTAACGGAGTTGAAAGCATTTCTCACGTGTGAGGTGGCCAGCAGATACAAACGACGAGATTGATGAATCCTTCGCTCCCTTACTTTAGCGTCCGTGACAACCTTCTGGTCTGCATCGATGGTTGAGGTGCCGGATCGAAATCCATACTGGCGGGCAGCAAGATCCAATGCTACCCTAATGGCTGCGTGCAGACGTAGCCTAAGCAGCATCTCCAGGATCTTGCCAGCCGTATCGAGCATGCAAATAGGCCTGTATGACGACGTGGCATCAGCTGGACCCTTGCCCTTGCTTATGAGCACATGCCTGTTTTTCTTTCACGGGGCGGGGAATATACCCTTCCTCAGGAACATGATGTACATATTTAGCGAAAGTTTGGTGTGACTCTGCGCGACGGCATTCATTACTTCCGCTGAAAGGTCGCCTGGTACTAGAGCTTTTTTGTTCTGCATGGAAAGTGCGGCCCTGAGTATCTCCTCCTCCGTAAATTGTGGCGCGTCGGTGCTGAAAGGCGCAGCCGTGCCAATCTCTCCCTTCGGCTGCGAGGGGAATAGGGTATGAATGATAATTTACAAAGTCCTCGTGTCCTGAGAGATTCCTTGCGTGTGAGTCCCCATTTTGCGAGTGACGATCCGGTACCGTAATCCCCACGGATTCTGGTCGACATTCAGGCACAACTCCTTCTAGCACCCTCATTGACTAGCCTTAATGGTCCTCTTCAAATCTTTTTTGACCGCTTGATACTCGGCGGCCAAGGGAGCAGAGTCGAGGTCGCGTCTCTTCGCTCGTTGTGCTATCCGGCAAAGTCTTAAGCATTTCATGCGAAGATCTGCGATCTTGTTCGTCCACAAGTATGCAGGACGCATCTGCCGTTTCGTGCTCTTCTTTGGCACCACTTTGGTCAAGCCTTTTCGAAAAGATGCATAGATGCTGCAGTTATCATCCTGGCTTTTGCAGTTGGCGATAGAAACGTGGAAGCAATTTGATGGGATCTTCATCTATGACGGAAGACAGCATCTCTCGATCCATTCTTGTGATGTTCTACCGGGAGGGTCGCTCTGCACTTGTCACGGCTGGCCTCTTATCGTGTACATCGAATAGGATGTACTGATGATTGCTCGCGGTATAATCCTCGATCACCCACCAGCCTGCGACTCTTGCCACAAGGTGTTCGTTGGCTGGAGAGACGTCCGGGATCGTCTCTCTGTAGCCAGACCTTCGGAAGGTTAACATCGATCCAGTGTTGTGTACTGCTAACTCCAGTCTCGACACGACTTCCATAATTCGTCTTCTTCTGGATTCCGGCTTGGCCTCCCCCCATTCGAGAGCTTTGGCAGTGTGATCAGCCACAATGAGATTCCCATGCATTTCATGCAGCGCGTCTTCCAGATCGTTCACTTTGGTCTGGAAGTCGTCTATCAGGTCGTTCGGGGTGAGACATACGCTGACATAAGTCATCGAGTTATTTCACACCCAAACATAACTGCGATCTGTGCTCTTGCACGAGGCGATAGACTGGCCATAGTCGAGGCAGCGGTAGCACCGCCTTACTTCTGCTCTTCGCCTGACCCTGCAGCTAACGAAGCCGAACAGCACTCGGCCGAATTTCAAAAGATTCGCAGATGCTCTCTCTTCTATTTTGACGACGACCTAGAATTGTCGTCTCGCGTTGTGGATCGTCATTTTAACTTCGAGATTCCCGCGTAGTCTGGCACGATACGCTTTAATGCCTCTTCGTCTTCGACCAACGATGTGCAGCAATCGCAGTTCCGTTTCTCCAGCGTAGCTCTGGGGACCAGTTCCGTGATGCTGTTAGTGTCTCCTACTTCTTTACTCAAGATTTCTGCGGATTAAGCACCATTCTCTGCATTGGTCTTCTTGAGTTCGATGAAAACCCCTATCTTTCTGGTCTGCCGGACCGATATAACTACTACACCTGTGGCACTGGTCCTGATGCGCTGGTCCTGATGCGCTGGTGGATGGCCACGACTACGTCTGCGTAAGATTTACCATGCGCAGGTTTCAGGAGGATCGCATCCGTCTTCGTTCTCTATTTCAACCTTTCCTCCGATTTGCACGTCTTCTTCTTCTCCTACCGTTGTTGTTTCGTCGCTTTCTTCGCTGGTTTTTCCTTATTTTCTTTCTTCTTGGCTACCTACGTCCACTTGGTGGCTTCGGTCGTTGTCGCCTATCGCCTCGGTCTTTTGAGGCTTGGTTGTCCCTCCCACGCCCGCTTTTGCCTTTCGCTGTACTCTCCATCATGAATAATATATTGATGAGAGGCTAGCTCCCCAAAAGAGAGGAAGCGAACGGATGGATGATATGGAGTGAGAGATAGAATAGAGAAATATATGACGGAAGAATAAGGGAAGGAATAGCCGGACAAGAACATTTACACGCCATTCGCGTAGACCAATTTAGTCGCCGCATATGACAAGCTGAGAGTGCTGAGGGAGTATTCTACTTCCCCTTAACCACGGTGGAGAACACCGACAATTATAATTATAATAATAATAAAAATAATAATAATAATATTAATAATAATAACGATACGAATAAAAATATCTATAATAATAACGATAGTAATAATAACAACGATAATAAGGATTATGACGGTATTAAAATCGATATTAATATTAATAACAATAATATCGATAATAATCATATTAATAATAATAGAAATAATATCGATAATAATAGAAATTTCAAAAAAAAAGAAAATAATGATAAAAACGATATTAACGATAATAACGATATTGACGATAATAACGATAATAAAGATAATAATGTTTAAAACGATAATAACGTTAACAAATTAAATATTAAGACTAAAACTGTTAGTAGATATAACAGCGAGAATGATAACAATAATAATAATAAAGATAATAATAAAAATAACGATAATAACCATGATATCGAAATAAACCAGAATAACGTTAATAACTATAGTAATATGCCAACATTAATAATAACGATAATAACGATAATAATGATAATAACGATAATGAAGGCGAATAATGATAACAGCGATAGAAATGATAATAACGAGAATGATGATTATAACGATAATACTACGCTTAATAATAATAATAACGATAATATTAATAACAGTAATATCGGTAATAACGATAATGACCATAATAATAATAGAACGATATTTATGATAGTAACGATAGTAATTACGATAATTATGATAATAACAATATTAATAACGATAATAACGATAGTAAAGAACGTATCACTAATAATTATAATATTAATAATAACTTTAATACTTGTATTGATAACGATAATAACGATAGCATGATAATTACTAAAATAACGACAATACCGATAATAACCTTGATAACAATAATGACGACATTAATAATAATCATTATTATTTAAACGATAATATTTATAATATTAATAATAATAACGATAGTATTGGAATTAACGATTATAAAAATATTAATAACGATACAAACAATTATCATACAATAATAACGTAAAAATAATAACGTAAAAAATATCGATAGTTATATAAATAACGAGAATTATAGTAGTAACTATAACAGCGATAATAAAACGATATTAATAATATTTATAATAACATCAATAATAATAAAAATCGTAATAAAATCATAATAACGATAATAATAACTGTTATGGAGAAAATAGAAACGATAGTAACGATAATTACGATAATTACGATAATTGCGATTACTACGATTATAACGATATTAATTACGATAATATTAATAACGATAATAACGATAATAAGGATAATACCGATAATAACGATAATAACGATAATAATAACGATAATAATAGGAGTAACAATAACTGCAACAATATTTACAATAATAATAGTAATAAATATTATTATAATAATAACAATAATAACAATTACGATAATAAGGAAAAAAGGATAATAATAAATATAATAATGAGAGCAACGATAATAACCGTAATAACATTAATAACAAAATTAATAAATACGATAATGACGATAAAAACGATAATAATTTCGACAATAACCTTAATATCGATAACAACGATATTAATAGAGATAATAATGGTAATATGTATAAAAACTATAATAACTATTAGAATAACCATAATAACGATAACGAACTTAGTAATGAAAATAACGATAATGACGATAATAGCATTAATAATGACAATAATAGAAATAACAAAAATCATAAGAAAAACACAACAATCTTTAGGAACGGCAATAATGATAATACTAACGATAATGTTAAAATGAACTATATTAACGATAATAACCATAAAAATAATGATAAATACGATAAAAACGATAATGGCGATGATAACGTTATAACGATAATGACGATAATAACGATAATCATAATTATATTAGCGATAATAATAATAGTAACGATAACAGCGACAAAAATAACGATAATAATAATTATAACAATAATAATAATACTATTAATTATAATAACGATAATAATGGATATTACAATAACACCGACAATATCTATAAAACCGATAATATTAACGATAATAATAATAGGAATA